GCCGGAGCTATGGCTGAGGCCATCCTATACATCTGACTCCTGGATTCGGTTGAGCTGCGTCCATATTCCCCTTGAATTGGCTAATGCTGGAATCACTTCTGGACACCTTTTCCCTCTTTTTATCTGCCGGTGGGGTGATTCCTTTTTTCCCACTTACAGCTTGGAGCAGCACCATAAGGTATTTCTATATTTTTAAAACACAGATATCATTTTTTTTTATAGCATTGATTTATTATTTACAGCATAAATAACATATCACAATAATTTCTTCCCCTGAATAAAAACCCCAGTCCATGAAAACAAGGTCAGTCACTGATCACTAGCTCATAGTGGAAATTTCATAAATAACTTAATATTTGCTTTAGTATATAAGTAGATCTTTCCATTTAATTACAAGTCAACCTTTGCATTTCACACACTTATCTAATGCATTTAGTATATTTAAGTGGTGAAAGCACTTAATCTATTCAGAAACGTTCTATAGACTTGAAATTATTCCCTGCCGAAAGGGAAAATTGACGTAAGGTGAATACAATGTGCTGTTCATATTGTGTATTGTATGTATTACAATATTTTTGAATATATTAATATATTAACAGTAGTATGTAATACCAGACAACTACCCACAATGCCTTTACTAAAGTGAAGGATGCTGTGGTGTCCTGTAGTCTGGGAGGCAGAGTACTTTATTAACAACTTCTGCCATCAATAAAACGTGCAGCCTTCTGAGTATATCATTACATGAAAAGGAAATGGAAGTAATAGAAATAATACACGTATAACAACTGCACATATGACAGGCCAGAGGTATGAACACCACACATGTCAATTCGCTTGCTATTCCATCTACCAGTACCTATGCATAGGGGTTGCTCTAAATTCTTTATTGCTATCTCTCCCATGTCAGAGCCATTAAAGTTCATGTGCGTGCAAAGACAGGCACCCCAATACTTTTGGCAATATAGTGTACATTAAGGATGACAGGCTGGTTGGCTATCTGTCTTCATGTAACCCCCCCCCCCCACGCACACCCTCTCAAGCAGCTCACCACCTGAAAGAAGACGTCCTTATGTGCCTTATCCTGGGAATGTGGTGACTATTACACTTGTGCTCTTATTGGTAAGGGGCGGCAGACTGGATGAAGATGAATGGTCATGACAGGGGACAATACTCCTGGTCCGGACAGCAGTCAGTTCCATTCTGCCAGGGTCTTTATGCAACAATCTTCACACACAGCTCAGAGGTGGGCAGCAGCGAGCAGCAACAGGAGTCGGGAAATGGGATACTCCCAGGGGCGGACTGACAACTCATGGGGGGCCCCGGGCAATAGGGGATTATGGGGCCCCTGTGTCCTTGCCCAAACTCAAAAAAGCCTATGAAAAAGATACCAGGGGCATCTCATGGGGCCCCCTACTGACCCTGGGCCCTCGGGCAGTGCCCGAGTTTCCAAATGGTCAGTCCGCCCCTGGATACTCCTAAAGCTACAGGGAGAAGCCATCTTTAGTGTTTTTAGAGTCAGTTTGACAACACTGCATGGGGCCCCCTACTGGTGTGCCTGAACGGTCAGTCCGCCCCTGGAGATACGTCTGTCAAGTATATCACAAGTATTTAGATACGCACTCAGGAAGCTATGGGTAGCTGAAGTTAAACTATTAGAACATAGGAATTCCTGCCTAATTGTCCGTGCTTCTGGTCTAGGTGAAATAATTATGTGGCTCAGTTCTCCGTGTCTACTGCCTGGAAACTTCCCTTTACAACATCACAGACTTCCAAATGAGGTTTCTTACGCAGTTAACAGAGACAGGAATTACCTGTCTGTAACCCACTAACTCTGTGGTAATCAACCACTTCAGCTCCAGGTTTTCATCCCTTCCTCATCCAGGCCATTTTTTGCTATTCAGCTCTGTGCATTGTCAACTGGTAATTAAGTGGTCATGCAACGCTGTACCCAAACATAATTTATGTATTTTTTTCACACAAATAGAGCTTTCTTTTGGTGGTATTTGATCTCCGCTGTTTTTTTTAAAATTGTTTGTGATATAAATGAAATAGACCGAAAAATGTTTTTAATAAAAAGATATTTTCTACTTTTGGTTATAAAAAATGTCCAATAAACTCATATTTAGACATAAATTTAGGCCAAAATGTATTTTGCTACATGTCTTTGGTAAAAAAAATCCCAATACATGTATATTAATTGGTTTGTGTGAAAGTTATAGCATCTACAAACTATTATACAGTATATATATTGGAATTTACTTTCTGACTGCCTATCACATTTCTTGAGGTGCTAAAATGCTAGGGCAGTACAACCCCCCCAAAAATGACCCCTTTTTGGAAAGTAGACACCCCAAGGAATTTGCTGAGAGGCATGTTGAGTCCATGGAAGATTTTATTTTTTTCCACAAATTTTTGGAAAATGACAGAATTCTTTTTTTTTACACAAAATGGTCACTTAAGTTATATATTGCTCACGCATGCCATGGTTGTATGTGAAGTAGCACCCAAAACACATTCTTGTACTTCTCCTGAGTATGGGGATCCCATATGTGAGAGACTTTTTGGCAGCCTAGCCACACACAGGCCTCCAAAATCCAATGACCACCACCAGGCTTTCAAAGAGCATTTATTTTCTCCTATCACTTCCTCACTAGCTATCACTGTTTCAGAGGCCCTAAAATGCCAGGATAGTACAAACACTGCCCCATATAACCCCTTTTTGGAAAGTAGACACCCCAAGGAATTTGATAAGATGCATGATAAGTATTTTGCAGATATAATTTTTTGTCACAGGGTGTTTAAAAAGAAAAAAAAACACACTTGAATTTTCTTTCTTCATTTTCCAACAACTAGTGGTAACAAATGAGATCTGAAAAATACTCACCATGCCTCTTACCAAATACCTTGTAGTGTCTACTTTCCAAAAAGGGGTTATTTGGCGGGTTGCGTATATTATCCTGGCATTTCAGGGCCAACATTAGAAGCTTATGCCACACATCACTCACTCTTCTAACCATGTGAAGACCAAGCCTTTTCTGACACTTTTTGTTTACATGAAAAGCAAAAAGCTAATTTTTTTTTGGTAGAACATTACTTTGAACCCCCAAACATTATATATATTTATATTTAAAGCAGATGCCCTAGAGAATAAAACAGTGGGAATTTCAAATTTTTGTCACACAGTATTTGCGCAGCAATTTTTCAAACACAAATGTTTTGGAAAAAATGCACTTTTTAAAAAATTAATGCACAAAAACATAATATATTGCTAAATTGTTTGATAACATATAAAAGATGATGTTATGTCAAGTAAATAAATACCAGACATGCTTTAAAAGTGCACCTGTGCAACAGCTAAAAACTATGTACATTTTTAATATCCATTGAAAACGCTTTAAATACCTTTACAGGTTACCACTTTAGATTTACACAGGAGGTCTAGTGCTAGAATTGCTGCCTGCAATCTGACATTCGTGGTGATACCTCACATGCATGGTGCAATCTCTGTTTACATACGATATACATATGAGACTGTCGTTTGCGTCTGCCTTTGCGCGTGAGTACGGGGGTAGATTTTTTTTTAAAATTATTTATTTTGCTTCTTTTTTTACTTTTACATTGTCCCTTTCATGTTTTTAATCACTTTTATTGTTATCACAGTGAATGTAAATATCCCCTGCGATAGCAATATAAATCTGGGGTCTGTTAGACTCTAGATCTCTCCTCTGCCCTTAAAGCATCTGATCACACCAAGATCGGTGTAATCAGATGCTTTCCCAATTTTAAAATGACGCTGTTTATATCTAGTGAAACCAAAATGATGAAATGCTTGTTGCTTCAGGTTTCTTAGACCATAGAGATAATTGGAGACATTTTGGTCTCTGGCCAGCTCTATGGTCAGCCAGCGGAACTGCCAGCTGCATTCTCGAGTTAACCTGGTGGGATGGGAGAGCCCAAAAAAAGCCATTGAAGGTGGCGGGAAGGGGAGGGGAGAAGTCCCTTCCCGCTGCTTGCAAAAGCAATCCAGCGGATAATTAGCTGCTAGGATTGCTTTTACATGAAAGCCGACTGCCAGCTGAAACAATGATACCAGGATGATGCCTTTAGCTGCAGGCATCATCCTGGTATAACCACTCAAAGTCCAGTGACGTACCAGTACGTTGATGATCCTTGTTGGGCATATACACTATATTGCCAAAAGTATTGGGACACCCTTCTAAATCATTGGATTCAGGTGTTCCAATCACATCCATTGCTACAGGTGTATAAAATCAAGCACCTAGGCATGCAGACTGCTTCTACAAATATTTCTGTCAGGGCTCTGTCCTCAGCAGAGGTATATGGAGACCTGGCATTCCTGCCAGTACCTGGCATGGCCGCAGAAATACACACTGACGAACATCTATGCGCATTGGTGCACGGATGTGAGCCAGAACCCACATGCACACTGGCGCACAGTTACGCACGCATTAACCCAGTTTGGCGCCAGATGGCCTTTATAAGGAAGCCCATCGTTCTCTGTAATTGCTGGTGGATCTCTGGCTTCCCATTACCTTTGTCCCATGTTCCCCTGATATTGTGATCTGCTTTTTCCTTGACCTGTCTTTCCTGCCTGTCTTCTGATCTGACCTCAGCTTGGCTACTGGATATTCTCACTTGCTCTCTTGTGTATGACCCCGACTATCCATCTGACTATGTCTGCTCTAATCCCCACCATTGACCCTGACTCCGAACTGTCCCATGCTACTCTGAAGGCCAGCTATCTCTTACGGATGCCACCTGTCTGCAGACACCATTCCAGTGAATCAGCTGTGCTCCTGGGTGTACCTCTGATAAGTAACCTCAGTCAGATCATCTCTACAAGCACTCCTGCAGGTGATTCATGCTACTTTGGGCCTGACTCCTTTTGTCCCATCTCCAGGGCAGTCTGGAACTTAGCAGCTAGGGAATCCCTTTCTCTATTGGCCTCCAGCACCAGGTACGTGATAATTTGTGAAAGAATGGGTCACTCTCAGAAGCTCACTGAATTCAAGTGTGGTACTGTGACAGGTTGCCACCTGTGCAATAAGTCCAGCCGTGAAATTTCCTTGTTACTAAATATTCCACGGTCAACTGTTAGTGGTATTATAACAAAGTGAAAGCAACTGGGAACAACAGTAAAATGACAGAGTGGAGTCAGCACATGGTGAAGCACAGTGCAGAGAAGTCGCAAACTGTCTGCAGAGTCAATAGCTAAAGACCTCCAAACTTCATGTGGCCTTCAAATTAGCACAACAACAGTGCGTAGAGAGCTTCATTGAATGGGTTTCCATGACCGAGCAGCTTCATCCAAGCCTTACATCACCAAGTGCAATGCAAAGCGTTGGATTCCACTAAAGTTCATGTGCATGTAAAGGCAGGCATTCCAATACTTTTGGCGATATAGTGTATGTAACAGCAGTGAACATGGGCATATGATGAATTGAGTCTGGGGACCAATATGACCGCAATTCATTCTTTTTTGTAACGCCCATGTTGAGGATTTGGCCCCAAAAAGTTTTAAAGTCAGAAACCGTGACAGGTTTCCATGCGAATTGTCTGGCAAGAGCTGAATTTGGGTGGGCGGCTATGTATTGTTGTGTGTATAAATTGCTTTGGCCCACAATCAATTGATACAACAGTGAAGGGGCTAAATGCTAGTGCTGGCAGCGAACTAGGCTGATCCTGCTAACAGTGCATTTTTGGGGGCACTATACTAAGCGGGCACTAGAATAGTTCTGTTCGTAAACAATATACTGATCTGTGCTAGTCGACTCTCTGATACACAGTAGGGCTTCCAGAACCTTATTAGGAATTGTATTGTTTTATGCTAGAAAAGGCATTGTGTTGAAGTGGAAGTCTCCGAATGTCCACAACTCTAATTCCTGGAAGAGGATAATTAACTCTATGATTTCATTGTATAAGGCAGGCCATAGACGGGTCGTTTATTGGCCGAAATTTTGTCCGCACGCAAAAATCGGCCGATATTCACGCCATTAGTGGGGCCAGCCCGTCGGCTGTTTTTCGTGGATCTTCACATTTATTTTTATCGGTCATGCTGGAAAATCCATGAAAAACGGCCATTTTTCGTGGACATTGGTGGCAGCATTGGCAACGGGGCCGACCGATTTTTCATTTATACGGCCCGTCTATGGCCTACATAAGGCCACCTATCTATCAAGGGGATGTCCTCATAAATTCCACAAGGTTTGGGATATTTGGGTAGACTGGCCAGACACGAATGAGGAGCAAGAGTCTTCTATTTAACTTGGAAATTTAAGTGATATCTCTTAATGATCTCATAGAGATCTCTGTGGTTATGTTATTAACACTGGTATAAGTGCCCTGGAGTTGTCATCTCTGTTAGCTTCCTAGAAGGCATAATTTTACAGAGTTTTTTTTCTGTCTAGGACTGTTTTGAACTTTACATGTCGAATGAACGTACAGTTAACTTGTTACTGTTATTTTTTTTTTCAATAATAAGTTTGTAACCTTGTTAAGTATAGTGCCGAGCCTAGGTATGCCCTATAGGCTCTGTTTTGTATATTTCAACACTTTTAAATTTGAACAAAAGAATTTATAAAACAAATTGAAAAAATACTGATCCGTACAAACACTATACTAGTAATTGCGGTGATCAGTGACCTATAGCGTGAGTGTGATAGTGTGCGATCAATCTAACGCTAGCTGAGCCTGGCTGGGAGGAGTGCTAACTGACCCTGATGCTATCTGATGTTGCTAGTGACTGTAATACAGTAATCAATTAAAACTTTTATATGCTGACACTGTAATGGCACTGGCTGGGTGACAGGGTGATCAAAGGGTTAATAGGGGGCAATCAAAGGTCTAAATGTGTTAATCTAATGTGTGTGTGTAAAATGTAGTGCTTTTACAAACAGTGTGGTGTTCTCCCTTCTCTCCCTGGACTGACGGGGGGCAGTGGGGGGCGCACGCATACTCGCTCACACCTGGAAATAGAAAGCAAAGGGTACGTCACTTTGCCCAGAGCAACCATTCACTCGCACATTGCAAGTAGGTAAAAAACAAAAACATTTACATTTAAAAAATTAAAAAAAGATTCTCAATATAGTAATTTTTTAGCACATTTTTTTTTACTATTAAAAATAAATACTTTCATCAGAGTAGTTCATTGTTACCATAGTAAGATTGTGCTACTCTGGGGGTTGTGATTAGGGATTCTTTTTTTTTTTTTTTTTTACACTTCGCATTGCAGGAGCAAAAAGATTATTGCTCCTGCAATGCCATGCTTGCTTTGAACTGTCATGAATGGGTTAAGTTCATGAGAGTTGAAAATAATAGTGATCTGTGATTGGCTATAGCTAATCACATACTATAGGGTCGGACTGACAACTCATGGGGCCCCCGGGCAATAGGGGATCATGGGGCCCCTGTGTCCTTGCCCAAACTCAAAAGAGCCTATGAAAAAGGTACCAGGGGCATCTCATGGGGCCCCCTACTGACCCCGGGCCCTCGGGCAGTGCCCGAGTTTTCAAATGGTCAGTCCGCCCCTGCCCATGTACCATATGAGAGCTGTGGGACAATCACAGCTCAACAGCAAGAGAAGCAAAGCTGTTATAAATCAGATTGATTCATAACAGCTTTGCTAAGATTCTGATCCCCATTCTGCTGCTCACAGGGGAGGGGGACTGCACACCCGCTAAGACACACAGCACCCCCGTGTTGTTACAGCCACAGCGATGTACGTCGCTGTCTCTGTACCTTCCGCCCGTCTGCAGTACAATGCAGGCAGATGGAAAGTGGTTAATAAGCAAAAGCTATTTACAAATGCAGACAATAGAGGTCAATAGATCTCTACAGCTGTTTGGATATGCTCACAGACTGTTCAAGGTAAAATTTTGTGTCTAAATCTCCCTTGCCTCTAAAGCCCGATCCATGTTCGGATCGCACTCCAGAGGCTACTGACTAGCAGTTAGGAAGTGCTGCAACGCCTCCTAACTGCCTGTTTTAACCTCATTCTTGCTGACAATCACAGTGCAACCACATGGATGCATCTGTGGCGCTTCTCCATTGACTTGCTTGTTTAGTGTTTGGCAGGCTTGCTGGTTGCCCATCGCTACACGTCAGGTCAGTTTAGCCGTGGTTGCAAAGCATTGCGGCAGCGTGTAGACATCCCCGTCTGCTGCCTATTGCAGCTTGATGAGGGGGGTTGGCAAGTGGAAAAAAAATGCGGCTCAAATGCGAATTTCTGCCTCTCGCCCAACTACAAGTCTAAATGAGGCTTTTGTGTTGTTGTGAAGTGCATATCTGATGGTAGCTACCCTCCAACATTGTCAGTTTATTTCATACTGACCTACCATATGCCAATTTAAAGCCCATATCCAGGGCAAAAAAAGTTTCCCCATGCAGTCTGGCTGTACCTGCACTGCATGGGTCACATACTTGTTTTTGTCTAAGGGAGAGGAGAAAGGAAATATTATTACCTAATCCTCCGGTCCTCCCAGCACAAGACCGTTCCTGGCCTACTCCCCGTGGTCTAGCTGTCTTGTGCAGTGGACTGTTCTTGATGTCATCCACTTGCACCTCCTGTACATTGTAATGCATAAGAAATTGTAATACACAATAATGCAAAGTTTACAAGTGTATGATGTGTAGCAGTGTGCAGAGGGTGAATTGAGAATTATATCTGTCTCACCTGTGCCTCAGGATGGGGAAAATCTTTCTGTGGAGACCCACGGAGATTAAAACCCTGCAGACTGCAGTCAAAACTTAAAGTGTAATTCCAGTTTTCCACTTAAACTTGTAAATCCCCCCTGGGTCATTTATGCCAATTGCCATGATTTCAACAAATTTTGTTGCAGATTCCTACCTTTTTTTGCTCTGAAAAAATAAAACTGTTTGTTTCACCATGTCCCTTGTAGATTGAATCTACATAAGAGGGTCTTGTTCATTTTAATAATCTGGTACACACTCAGTGTTCTGTTGGTAAAATCTGCAGTGTCAGCATCCATTTAGAAGTTTTTAGCCCTTGGGGAGTGTAGACGTCTGGGAAAATAAACAAGCAAATCTCACAAGCAAGAAATTGTTTTTCTAGGGGGCATTCTGTATACCAATGGTGTACAGAATGCTCTCCAAGTTGCCATTTTCCATTAACTTTTACAGAAAATAACAGCAACTGTACATTGAAAGGGAAAGGTAATTTCACATAACTTTAAATAGAGTTGGGCTTGATGTTCAAGTCGAGAGTGGAGCGCTTGTTTTTTTCTTTTTTGGGTTGGCAGTGGCGGTGGATTGATGTTGGATCTACTTTGGGGGACATTTAAAACATTTTTTTTTTTAAATAAAGAACTTGTCAAAGACTGTCTTCTTTCATTTTTTACACTACACCTTTTTTTTGTTAATGAGTAGTGCTACCATCTACCCCATACTCATTCACATGATGGGCCTGGGATCTGGGGACCCCTTTGTTAAGATTCCAATAAGCCCCCCACAAACACCCACAACCACCCATAACGGTTGTGGGGAAGAAGCACTTGTCCCTATCAACATGGGGACAAGGTGCTTTGGGGGCAAGCCCACTGCCCCAAAGCACCCCCTATGTTGAGGGCATGTGGCCTGGTATGGTTCAGAAGGGGGTACTCTCTTGTCCCCCCCCTTTACTGACTTGCCAGGTTGCATACTTGGTTTAAGGGTCTGATATGGAATTTGGGAGGGGACCTCCGTGCCATTTTTTAAAGAATTTTGACATGAGGGTTCCCCTCAAAATCCATACCACACCTGAAGGACTTGGTATGGATGGGGGGACCCCACGCAGTTTTTTTGTTAATTTTTTAATTGCTGGCAATTCTTTGTACATTCAGCTGTCAGCGGGTAATCCCGCTGACAGCTGAAACATTAAAGAATGTTTCACTAATAATATACAGCATGATTTAATAATATACTGTAACTCATGCAGTATTATAGTAGCTGTATGGTATCTTACCGCATACTCGGGTGCAGTAAGATACCGCTTAGTGAATTGTCCTTGTTTGAAGTTCGCAGTCAAACTTTTGTTAGGTTCGAATGTTTGACTGCAAACTAAACAGGGGGGGGGGGGGGTGTGTGCGGCCCATCCCTAACTTTAAATTATTGTATAGCTTGTCTAGAAATTGCACTGTATATTGCTATATTTTTTTTAATGAACGTGGAGCTATACTTTAAATAACAGTTTTAAGCCCATGTTTGTTTTTTTTAATGACCGCTTTTCCTACATTACAGAGATGGATTCCATTTAACAAAGAGTTTACATAATTTGTGAAGC